TAATAATAATAATAATAATAATAATAATAATAATAATAATAATAATAATAATAATAATAATAATAATAATAATAATTCTAATGTGACCACATTTTCATTACCTGGAGCAACCATTAATAAAGAAACTATAAGTGAGCACAAGGGTGGTAGAGTGATGCCACTGCCGTGAGAAGATGTTGCATTTACACTAGAAAAATAAGGAAAATATAGGAATGAATTAATCAAAAATAAAACTTTTCAAATTTTTTCTCGTTTAACACTTATCATATGGTTTTGAAAAAAATATTTTCAGAAGTTAAAATAACCAAGAAAATTAATTTTATCAATAATTACCCAATGATATCCTGTCCTTTAAATAAAAAAATTTTTTTTTATGTTATAAAAACAGCTTGCAAAAACGCTTAATTAAACTTTTTTTGTCGTATTTACCCATCCATCCAGTGACATTATATAAAGCCCTATTATCTTTTTTCAAGACGGGAATAATTTCAGCAATCGTAGTTCCCCAATTCACATCATAATAGACGATATTATCTTTTCGAGCTTTAGATATAGCTTCTTCATTTAATAATTTCAAATCTGTTTTTGCAACAGAAGCATTTTTATTTGGTTTTAGAAGGTATCCGTTTGTTTCTGATAGATCACTATTTTTAAAGTTATTGTATAAATATGATTTATGATTTTTTATATGCAATTAATCATGTAAAAATATATATATGTTGCACCTAAACCCTGTAAAAGATCCAACAGCTTTAACATGTTTACTTTCTTGAACAGATTTTTTCATTATATCAGTAAGTTGTTGGAACGATTCAATGTCTACTATATCAGATCTAAATCTAACGTTTCCAACACTATTAATCGCCACTTCTACAAGAAATAAATCATTAAAAATGGGTAAAATTTTATGTAACACAAATATTGTTAGTTACAATAAACACACTAAAATTATAGCATGTGAACCTTCTTCATCTCCAGTATGTTTTTTATTCGTATTAATAATCTTTTTATGAGCTTTAAGTACGAGATTTCCTAAAGATAAATTTTTTTAATTAACTATTACAGAAAACTCATTAATTCATATCCAATTTTGTTTTTAAAGAGAATTACTTAATTTTTCAGCGATATCTTCATTATTTTCAAAAATATCATTAAGTTCATAAATATCTATTCCATTATAAATTTCTCGCGTTTCATCTTCAAAGAGGCTCATTTTTTTTTTCATTTAGAATTTAGGTTATTTGAAAGTGTTTTTGCAATAAATTACCAAAATATATTGATATATATATATAATTTATGATAAGAAATCTGAAAATCACTTATTCTTTTTAGATAAAAGAATATGAATCAATTCCGATTTTCGAATTTTATTTTGAGTACAGTAATTAACTGTTGAGTATGCACGTACATATAACGAATGAAGTAGAGATCTTTTTTTGCTAGTCCTCAGATCTAATAAATAATAGTCAACTCAGCAGTGATCTGCTATGCTGATTTTCGTAAACTCTATTTTTAGAAAGAGTTAGATTTTGTTTTTTTTGTAATTATGATTTCATTGTTGCGTTAGTTGTCTTGTTATTGATTGTGAAATATACAACTTCGATCAAAGGAGAAGACGTCAAATATTTATAAATTAATAAGGAAATCATTTCTATGCGCAGCTAACCCTCAATACTTGATAATTTAATCTCGATTCCCATGTGGTACGACATTATGTTGAAGATTCGATAAAGATAGTTATTCGTAATATACCAAATTCAGCACAATTACAAACACATTATTATTAGCGTTTTATGTTTGGGGGACAAAAAAATGGATATCATACGCCAGGATCCGATCAACTCACCGACAATCACTTCGTAGACACCACATTCACCGATAATCATTACAAAGTAATTAGAGTCAATATTATTATTAGGTCAGGTTGAATTAAAGTTAGTGTAATTTATGAAAAAAAAACTTGTCGGTGATATGAGCTTAGATGAAAATAGATTGTCGGTAAGATGAACTTGTCGATGAATAATTTTCAGTGAAATGTGGCGTCTATGAAGTAATTGTCAGTAAGATGAACTTGTCGATGAATAATTTTCAATGAAATGTGGCGTCTATGAAGTGATTGTCGGTGAAATAATACGGATCCATTTTGGTTTTATCAGAGAGATTAGCCTTTTCATTCATAAATGTTTAGATACGTAATTATTTTAATTATAAATAAAGGACTTCGCTCATAATTAACAAGGAGCTTCCTCATCTCTAAAATAGTCATCTCCCGTGATTCTCTACAATGACATAGAGAATCTCCTAATTATATCCTCGTATTGTTGGTTTCAAGGAAGTGAAACAATCCGAAACTCTGTCATGCCTTTCGCCGCCTTTTTCGAGAATCCTACCCAAAATAGCGTGGTATTGAGTGTTAGTTTAGTACTAGTTTAGAAAACCAATCCCGAACCTTACATAGTTATTTGAGGTCATTCGTGTCCTCGGTGCTTAAATTCATTCATGATAACTAGAGTTTCAATACGGATAAATCAGTATCCGTTTATCTGTATCTAATTATCTGGATAATTAGATCTTTCGGATATCCGAATAAATTCAGACCCGAATATCTAAACTCTAATGATAACAAATGTTATTACCACATGAAAATTTATTTACTGTATCTCTTCAGATGTCATTTTCTAAATAGATGCTTAATCGCCCGTGAATGATGAAATGAATTTATTACAAAATACAATAGTAAAAAGAAAGTTATCTTATCACTTTTTTTAAAAGGGTTTCATTATATTGCACATTAAAAAATTCCCAAATTCAATATTAAATATAATAAAATTCGCCAACTTTTTACAGTTTTATGAACAAAAATTCAAGTACGTAAAATACTAGTAGTTAGGCACGTCCAAATATCCGTGCTTAAGGTAACTCGATACGTCGTAATCGGAATAGATTAGTCGCGCAACCAAATTTAGCAGATCGACCAAAATTCCAGGTCGGAATGGGTAGAATTGATAACGATAAATTTTGTTAATAATCCAGTAATCTACGTGCTAAGGAAAAGCTTAATCTATAATCCATAAAATTATTAAAACAGGGACCTTTACCTAATCTTTATTATCTTCATGGACTTTTCTTCGACTCATATATTATATATAATAAGACATTGCACTAAGTATAATATGACAACTGTTATAAACTGTACTGTCTTTTATGCTTTAACAGAGAAATTCCTTGTGAAATTTTTTAATATATTATACAACCTTTCTAATACTAACGTTAAATTCTAACCCTAAAGTATTGAATAGCTGCTAGAATAATTATTTAACACTAATTATAAAGAGATATTAGAATAATAATTATTTAACAACAACTCAAAGTGCCGCTAGAATGATTATTTGATAATAATTATATAATTAGTCCGAATGATTATTTGACATTTGCTGCTCACGCTACACATGATGATCAGCTAAAATTCACATGCTGTCCTCATTCACGCACTGCCGGTCTAGTTTATACATCTTGTGTATTATGTAAAATAAACGTAGATTGTTCACTTTTATTCCATTGAATATTGAAAAAATCCGATAATTGTCCAATATAATTGATCAAATATTGTAAAAAAAAAAAGTTTAATTTAACCCGTCATTTAATAATAGTCTAACATCTAGTAATGAATAATAAAAAAAAAAAAAAAAGGCCGATTCAAATGTAATGAACAAAACAAAAAGATCGATTCAAATATAATTTAACCGAAACAACTGCATAAATTATTATCTTTATTAATGTCATCAATAAATATATGAATTGCATATTATTATAAATGGTATATTGCATTTTAGTCTCATTGTCTTCATTAAGAATCTCCCAAGTCATTTTTCAAGAAGTGAAAATTTAAAAGTGGCATACATTAAAATTCCGACTATGTATGATTTGTACTCAGAGGCAATTCATTTTATATCTAAAATAAAATACCCAGTTGGTGTAAACATTGAAGACTGACAAAATTGAATGAAAAATATATACTGTGTACGTTTCAATTATTTGCAAAGAACCTATTATGCTACCATAAATTGAAAAATGGCGCATAACATATATACGTGTACTTAATTAGTAGAATTGTAAACTACTGTATTTGACATAGATAGAATCCGTCCTATATAATTGACTGTTTTAAAAATAAATGTAAGCAACAAAATGGCGTCTTTTAAGTTAATATACATTATATAATCTTTGTTATTTATTAGCTGTCATATCACTCGGTTAGAAAAAAATTTGGAATTTCCATTAGCACAGCAATAAAAATTAGATGTGTAAATTATTGATTATGGGCGTTCTCAAGCATCTACCTCAATGGACTCAATAACGATTCTGATTGGTCTGTATATGATCAAACTAGCCAATCATATTTTTTATTGAATTCATTGCGGTAGGTGCTTGAGAACGCCCTAAGTAGACTTTTTGTCGCGTTATATGAATGCTGTATTGGTTGCTATCCTGTAAATTTATTATGCCTGTACTTCGCATTAGAAAGTATCATAATTTGTATTATATCTAATTTGGTATTTATCTTTATTGGTTAATAAAATTACACAAACTAAAAATGGCAAGTATTGTCATAAAAAAAATAAATGCTTATTTTTTTTATTTTTTTGACAAAAATGATTTGTCATATGACAAGATGCCATTTATTTTTAAATGGTAATGTGCTATCACTGAGGAAAATTGCTAAATGCTAATTTTGCTATAATATAGAATAAACACAAAATAACGCTCGTGGGTGTTATTTTGAAAATCGGATCCTTTAAAAATAACTATATGGGCATCCCGAATTAACGTACATCTAATGTAACACAATTTATTGTTGATACTCCATATGTGCACATACTTCCCTATAATGATAAGTACTGTACACTCAATTTGATCGGTCTAGTATAATTATTTAATATTATTTGTAGATTATTCTCCATAAATGAATATTTTATAAATGCTTATAAATGCATTTTTACCCAACAAACGTGCATTCATGAAAGTTGATTGTATTGGGTTTAGAAAATCCTCTCTTATTTCAAAATAGCGCACGTGTGCGTATTCGAAATAATGCGCAGGTCATATAGTATGAGATAAAATAGGATGGCTAATTGGAAATACAAAATACAATGAATAAAAATTAATACAATGAGATAAGGAAAGATATGAACCGAACTCAAAGTGTATAGAAATCATTTGAGCACTACCAAGAGAAAATAAAAAATCGGCTTTCAAGTTTATCATTTATTATTTATCAAATTCAACTCGTGAAAAAAATCTGTGGTAACATGTCATAGATATTGCTATCAGGTCTTTAAAGGTCACATCTGGTATATATTATATTATAAAATCGAAGACTCAAAGTATCAATTTCTTCTCTCAATTATGATAGTTCATCAATCGGAAATAACACTTAAATTATAATTTAAAATTTTTCTAGATACTAATTTAGAAAATGTAACTTGCTTTATTCTAAATGTGCGTATAAATCTATTGAAACATAAAAAGAACTTTTCAAAAATTATATATCTAAAAACTAAGTTTTCACAAATTTGTTATAGCATCATTTAAATTAAAAGGCAAGAAGTAGATCGAGATTAAAATCTTTCAAGAAAATTATTTGCTAAGACAAAAAAAGCTTGTTTTTTGATAATATTTCTAGAATTCTTGAAATTTATGCCGAGCTATGTTGATCTCTTAACCTAAAAGGTGGGACAATCAAAAATGGGATTACAAGATAAGTATAATAATATGGATGACCAAAATAGTATGGTAAAGGGTGTGAAATACTGTACGTACAGTACGTACGTACGTACCTATTTTAAGAAAATTATGCCATATTAATATACTACAATAATAATTTCTAAACCTAATATTTAAAGCAATATATGACATAATATCAACATAGTAAAGGGTACCTATTTTAAAAAAATTATACCATACTAAATGAGTGACGCCAAGGAAAATGGAACATTCGTTTTTATTGATAACACATCGGGCTTTCAATAAACTAACCTCTGAAATCCTTGAATTTGTCGTCTTAATGAAAGCCCGATATGTTGTCGATCACCAGATTAATCGAAAAAAAACGAATGTTCCCTTTTCCCATGACGTCGCCCATATAAACCTAATACCAATCAAATTACACAATTTTCATTCAATACAGTTTTAAAAATGAAAATTTCAAGAAAA